CAAGCAGTGAAAATGTCAAATGCAGCAAACAATGGGAATCTGAGTAATATATTGGAGACTAATTCAGATCCAAGTAAATCAACATAAGGAATTCCAAACAAAATTAAAAGAGATATGAAAAAAACCTTTGGAGTTTCTGAGGGACTTGAGAACGGTCTTGTACCCCAAGGTGAATTTGCCACTCTTCATGACCAGAGCCAACCTGTTGTTGATGCTCTCATGAGTCTTCTTCTGCGAAATCATTTCACGGAACCGAAAAGCAAATCAGCCATTTTTTAACAGAATCTGATGTGATATGAACGACGACGAAAAGCAAATCAGCCATTTTTACCGTCTTCTTCGCCGCCACCATTGTTATGTCTGCTCGGAGGACGGAGGACCACGATTCGATTCGAATTTAGGGTTTTTTATGAGGAAAAAGCTAATGGGTATCTTTTTTTTACGGAGTAGTAGTGAAGCCCGCATACATTATATTCACTGATTTAATAGAAATGGATTTGAAGTTTTGGGATTTTAAATTAGACCTCAAATCTTTATTTTTTACATTTTTAATACACATTTTCTAAAATTAAATTTAATAAAACTTTATTTTAATTAAATTTAAATGAAACAATTTCTTAAATTAAAAAAAGCACATTTAATAAAAAATACATTAATAAAAAAATTAATGCCGACCAATATCGTTGTGAGAAGAAACAAAGCCGAACCCTCCAGAACCCGAGTTAATAAAATTTGCATTCTTCCTTTCAGTCGGCCGTAGAATGAGGTCCTCGTTGTCGGGATCGTCTACGTTGAATGGAGGTCTTTTTTCAAAGAGCCGCTAGTTTCATCGGCCTCAACCTCGCGGAGAATCTTTTCTTTGACGATCTGGTCTCAGGGTTGTTGAGTTGTTTCCATTTGGGTGAACGACTTAAAATTCTCTAAAGATCGATGGGGACCTTACCATGGTGTCCGTCGTCTTGATTTAACATTTTTGTAATTAGTTCATATTATTAGTTTTATTTGAAATACTAACATTTAATAAAAGATTATGTATCCAAATAAGGCATATGTGTGGCATGACCTAGTAAAATGAGATTTGTATTGTTTTTAGGTCTTCCACACAAAAAATAGGCCAAAATCTGGCAAAAATTGTTTAATGTAAAAGATGGAACACCCAATTCGGATGCCCCTACTCTCGATCCTACTGGATAGTGAAGAAGAAGGTAAATCATGGTTTAGTCTATTGGTGACATTACTATTGTTGTTGGTCTAATATGCTATGGTCTGATTTGATTGGATCTGATATACACATGATTTATATGCTATGGTCAATTTAGTGTAAAAAAGAATAATCGTGTAACTCTTTTAGAACCCGTTTGGAAAAGGGAAAAATGACAAAGGAGAATTCGGAAAAGATGAAAAATGGAGTCAAAGGAGAATGAAATCCAAGTCAACCTGAAAATGAAGCCTAAAATCTTGATTTTGTCGTTTTTCTCAAGAAGTCATTTTCCATCTCATCCTCGCTCATCTTCATTCTACGCCATCCACTCCCCTCCTTGTCGATGTCCCAAGTTTTCACCACTGAAATCACCGGCTTCCCCCATCTTCTTCCTCCCCGTCGCAACTGCCACACCCTCTCCTCCCTCCACCCACTCATCTTCTTTTTTGTGAGTTGTTCAAA